GATAGGTGGATAAAAATGCCAAATCCAGTCTAAACATCTGGCTGACTGTGCGCCCAACCATAATAATAATAATGGACTGCCAGACTGGGAAAAATGGTTAGTCCTTGCTTGATACGAGTTGCAGCAATACAAAGCAGAATGTTTCAATGATTGCTCCATATTCCATGACTTTTCGGCATGATGTGGAGATCCACCCTGCCAGCCTCTATGGAAATTCCCTCTGCCCCAATTTCCCTGATGTCAGAGATGTGATTCAGGGAAGGTAACACAGAGTGAGCTTTCCCCTGCTTCTTTTCCTGCCCACCAAGCAGGAAGAAAACAATGCCAGACCTGGAGTTGGCATCCTTGGATTACCTCCCATGGATGTCGGTGGGAGAGAAATCATTTAGAAGGGAAATGGAAGAAGGCTTCATAGCTCTAGCATCAGACTTCTCATTAACAAATTGCTCTGCTTGTTGTCTCTTTTATGGAACCCGTGTGCCATGCCTATATTTCTTATATATTTTGTACAAGAAGACATACTCAAATATACGTGCATGTTTGTGCACATATGCAGGTATGCACCCACACACACAGAGCTTCAGTTATGACTAATGTGCAAGGTATATTTTTGTTCAATTTTCCATACAGAAAAAAACAAGGCTTGGAAAGGACTTGGTAAGTATGCTCAAGTACAAATGTTATTAATGCAGCTCTGAGTTTTTATTAAAGCAATTAAATTCTTGCCCTCCAAAAGAACTCTTTTTTCTTGGTGTACATTTTTGATGCTGGTCATCACATCTGATGTGTCAAAATAGCTTGCTTCTGCCTACAAAATTCTGTTAAATTTGAAGCCATGAATCTTGACCTGAATATAAAATTTTGCTAATCAGAGATATCTCAGTACAATTCCATCTCGAGCCAAATATGTAATGAGTTCTGCTTGTGGGTCAGGAGCAGGTCACTCAGCAGACATCTTTCATTAAAGCAAAGTACTTTGGCAGCAAAAGCAAAGCAGATGGAGAGTTCATTAACACGCTGTGTCAGGAAACAACATCATAGTTCACTTTGATTAACTGGTCCACTGAGAATTGGATCATTGAATTCTTTTTTTTTTTTAATCAGAAATAACCAGGCACTCTATGGCACTTTAAAGACTAACAAATTTCTGATGTCATAAGTTTGGATGGACTGTAGTCTTTGGCAACTTATGCGTTTTAATGTCCATTTTGGTTACAAGAGACTCTAGAGCAGTGATTCTCAATCTTGGCAACTTGAAGATGTGTGGACTTCCAGTTATGTGGACTTCTGCTGTAGAAATTAATTTTTCTTAAATTGTTTCTTCAACATGTTTGCACCAGAATAGCACTGGAGGATAGCAAGAAAAACTCCCTGGATGTGCATCCTGTGCCCAATGTGTGATGAAGTTATCTAGCTGGGCCAAAGGGACATGTTCTTTACTGCATATTTTATTCCTTGATTCTTCAAATGGTTTGCAATATGGAGGAGATCACTCCAACAGAAAGAAGTGGCTCAGGAATAGAGTGAAATGTCATAAAGAGGGAAGTCCAGTGGGATTGGCAGCTTTCAGTGAAGTAGAGGAGGAGGAGGAGGAAGAGCTTCATCAGTGTCATAGCCAGGTAGAGAGGGAGAAGGAAGCCTGCCCTGAACTGGATAAGCCAAGGGTTCAAGTATCCAAAATATAAGACAGAAGTCAAAATATGCTAAAACTTGTAGTGCCCTAATGATGCTCAAATCATTTTTGATCCATTCAAATCTATGCCAGGCAAGTACATAATTCTTTAAAAGAGCAAAAGAAGATACTCTCTAGCATGCAAATTAAAGGCTGCACTGGCAGCAGTTAAGGCCTTTGAATATCTGTTGTGTACAAAGGTGTGAATTTTGAAAACTATATTAGAAGTTCTGTCCATAATAGATTTGTCATTGAAAGAAATAATATTGCAGCAATGAGTTTCCCATAAGCAGTACTCTATGTGATATAGTGGTATAAACCTGTATGTATGCCATAACCGGTTACTATTCATACCATTATCTCACAGTATTAAAAATGGGGGTTCTCAGTCATTTTCTGTCGTCTTGCATTGGTTGGCAAGGGTTTCTCCAGGCATAGTGTTTCAGTGCTTGCCAGTGTTATCAATGTCACTACTTAAACATACCTTGTACACATTATTTTGGTCTACAATAATTATTGGAATAGGAGAAAGGACATGGCTGCTAAATAGTATTCTTATTCAATCACTCTGTCTCTTCCAATTCTTCATGACCCGATGGACATCATTTTGCCAGGACTGTCTGCCAGTAATTGCTTCTTCACATTTCTATTGACATCAAGTTTGCTTTGTGCTGACATTCTAGGTACAAATAGTATACAGATTTTTGCAGTACTAAACTTCTTTTTTGCCTCTGGGGACATCAGCAACTGAACATCCTTTTAGTTCTAATCCAGCCTCATCAGAAGGACCACTACTACTCATATCTGTGTCCTGCTGTTCCCCACTAGTTCATTGGATCTGGGAGATAAAACTTCTAGTATCATGTTGACATCAGTCTGGTTGTGAATATCTTTTCCTGGTAGAATGGTGGAGTGGGTTGCTATTTCCTTCTCCAATGGATTGTCTTTCATTTGATCCCTCATTTATGACCTGCCTATCAATGGGTGACCCTGCTAGAGGTGTACACAGCCAACAGTATAGTTCATAGCAACACTGGGATGCACAAGATGTTTTTACCACTATAAGGTAATTAGTATAGATAAGTGCTAATTAGTATAATAAAAATTATCATAAATCAATAGGCAACAAAAATGAAGTAAAAAGTGTTAATCATGACCATTTACCTAAAAATAATTGAACGAGTCCAGCAGTTCCTGTGCTAACTCAATCTGATTTAACACTGTCAGTTTGTTCATTATTGCTTGCTTTCTAGATCTCTGTATTGGATAAAGTCCAATTCTTCTTTGTTCAATTGCTAATTCCTCCCTTTAGGTGTTTATAACCAGCAATCTTACTTGTAAGCAAGACAATGCAACATAAAGCCCACAATACATCACAGATATGCTCTCATACTGACATCTCTAATAGAAACCAATGGGTTGTAATTGAAGCACAAGCATCCTCAGATATTATGCTGGGGGTATTTTGCTTAGCTTTAGTTCATGGGTGGAAGGCTAATGCTGCAGAAGAGCCCTCTGCTTCTGAGGTTAATCAGAATATGGTTATAGAAAGCTGTTGGTGTCCTCTGGATGAAAGCAAACAACTGTGAAGGTTCTCACACAGTCAAATAGTAGAGCTGGCTACCAAAACAAGAAACAGATGGAAATTGTATTTCCCGCCCCAACGATAATTGCTTTTCGAGTGGGTGGAGAAAGAGATGCAAGAAATGTGAACATTAATCCTTATAAACAGAGCCTGGATTTGATAAATGGAAGATGCTGTCACTGTTTCATAATGGCTTCGTAGTTTTTCCATAATAAAACTACCTTATCAGAAATTCCAGGATTCTTGGTGCCTGTTTAATTGGATCCAATCCAGCCTGCTAGGGAAAGCCTGACAACAAAGGTAGGCATTTCAGCAGCCTAATGCAAGAGAAAGGCTCCTTCGTTTTGTGCCATTTACATGAGTTGTAAATCCATTTTGTACCATTTACATGAGTTCAGCGAATATACAAATGGCTCATCACATCAAATGGCCAACACTGCAGCTTGCATATGTGAATCAGGCCTTAAGAAGCCATTCCCAAAACCATTAACCATAATAAATAAATTGGCCAATAATAAAATGGCCATAAACAAAGCTTAGAAGCAACAGAATTCTTTGTCTTCTAAAGGCTCACTAATGCAATGGTTCACAAAGGAGGCTGTCCCTAAAAAGAATCTTTCTCAGTGAAGACATCTTCCCTCTCACTGGTGCAATCAACCTACAAGGCCAAGGTAATAATCCAAATCAGAAGCAAAACAAAACAACCCTGTTCTCTGCAGTATCCTTCACGCAGGTGACATCTGTATGGAGAAGTAAGTCACTGAACCTTCTTATATGGTTTGTCTATTCCTTTTAAGATGGGAGCATGCCATTTGATTCACGTTCATTGATATAAATAGGACTATTCATTCCTGCAATAATAGTGCATACACAAGGACAGCCATTAGCATAACCAGTACAAAGACACTGTTCAGCTAATCTGCCCTTTCCTTATGTTTATGCATGTCCATTTTTTAAAGGTTGCAAAAACATTGGTTTCACTAATGCTAGCACAGTTCTAAGGAACCCAACTTTCCTGAAGGAAAATGATAATTATTATAAGAATGTAAGGCAAAGTAAAGTAATTAGTCTTGCATTTAGTAGAATTATAGCTTAGTATTTTAAAAATAGGTACATGTGTGCTTTTAGCCTCTCATGAGCACAATTTTCATTTGCAGAAATCAGCGGAAGTTTAAATTCTAACCTGTAATGAATGTGAATTGTGGAATTGCAGATTTATTTTACTGACTTGAGCATAACGCTTGGTATTGAAGTGGCCAAACATTGCACTGCAACCATAGTAATGTAAATCCTTTCCATCCCAAACTTCAGAAACAAATTGTAGGATCTGAAGATTTATGCCAAGGCCATAATCTATAACACAATTATTGGAGAGGGAAGAAGTGCCTAAATGTGTTTTTGTGGAGTTACATTTTCATTTCAACCTAACTGAGCAGCAGAATTAAGGACATTATTCTAATTATTAACAGTTATTGGAAAAGGTAGTCTGGATGTCTGATATATGGTAGCTGACCCATATGGAAATCAATTTTTAGAACTGTTCCCTCTTTTACCTGTGCAGGTAGCAAAAGGAAATATGTAAAATTTGATCTCTTGTTCAAATTCCTTGTACTAATTTATCTTTTCTCCTTCACAATGTAACTGCATTCAGGATTAGCTTAATCTGACAAAGTATGTAAAATGTGCTTTTCTACGTTAGTTGGTTTTCAAAGGCAAGCTATTCATTCTTTCTTAATCTGACAAGATGAGGCAGAAAAATACTGTGGATACCAAGCTACATGTCCTGACAAGGGATGAAAGTCACTTGAAAATCAAAGATGTTTTCAATGTCTTTAACTTACTTCCCGTTTTTGTAGCTTTTGAATATTTTTCTGAAAAGAAAGAAAGATAATATCAGAAAGAGGGAGAGAGAGAGAATCTGTAGAACAACTTTCTTTGCTAATTCTTTGCTTTCTTTGCTAATTAATTAATTCTTTCCTTCCTTTGCTAATTTGCTTTCTTTCATTTGCTTTCTTTTTTAATTAAGTCAGTCGCATTTGTGAAGTGAAATCATACTCAAATACAAAACACCTATAACCTTGAATGCCTTTGATAATGGGAAGAAATAATATTTTTTTGCACAGTTATATAAGAAATCATACTGGGTGATACCATAAAGCTTCCCTATTTGTCCATCTTTGAATATGACTAGAGCCAGTTTGAATGACTGGAGCCAGTTTGGTCTAGTGGTGAAGGCACCAGGCTAGAATCCAGGAGACTGTGACTTCTAGTTCCGCCTTAGGCATGAAAGCCGGCTGGGTGACTTTGGGCCAGTCATTCTCTCTCACCCCAAGTCACCTCATAGGGTTGTTGTTATGGGTAAAATAGGAGGAAGAAGGAGTATTAGATATGTCTACCAACCTTGAGTTATTTAAAAAAATAATAAAGTCGGGGGGAAAAAAAATTCTTTGCAGGCTCATGGAATCTACTTCCAAAACCCCCTGGAAGAGGTCTGTTTTCAGCTGCTTCCAAAAGTCAGTCACGTTCAGAGCTAGTCTAAGTTCCAGAAGGAGGCCATTCCAGAAGGCTGGTGCTGCTACAGAAAAGTAGCACCTTCATGAGTCAGCCCCTTGTACCATTCGAAAGTGGGGAAAAACAATCTGCTTTTCCCAACAAGATTGAATTGTTCAGGCTGATTCTAGTGCAGTGTTCCTCAACCTTGGCCACTTGCTGATGTATGGACTTCATCTCCCCGGACTTCCCCCCCACGGTGGATCGGGGCGGGGGCTTGGGTGTGG